ATTTCAACTTTCTTCAAACAGACAATTTTTTTTAATGTTGAAACTACTTCAATGTTTTATTATCTGAGCATTCAGTGACTCAACGGGTAATTGGTTTTATGCTTTAAACAAGAAAAAAATATTGTAAATAAAAATCTTTTGCAAATAAATATAAATTTTAATAAAATTTATTATATGTTTCCTAAACTAAGTGCAAATAAATATATTTTTAAAATATCTCTACTTTCACAAACTCTTCATGAAACTAAATGTAAACAGTAAACACAACAAGGTTGAACAAACGCTTACGGGTTGTCTGGTACTTTTCAATACTTAGTACAAGGCACAAGAACCACTCAAGTTAAATGGTTACTGAATAAGATTGTTGTGTTGACGTAAGAGAGGGTGCCGATGTGAGGATTCTTGCTTACATATTGCTCTAATCTAGGGAAGGTTACTGAATAGAATAATCACACGAAGGTTGGTAATAAACGATAATACTTAGGACAAGAACAACACATATAAGATTCGCCAGCGGCGCGTAGAAGTAGTAGTCAACTGCTAGAAATGAGTCAAGTGAATTCCACAATGAATCTCTAACTGCAAAATAACTACCAACCACCCCACGTGGTCAGATGTGGCACAAGGCCGATTTAATGGAGCCTTTAGGCTCAACCAAAAATTCCCTGTAGACCCGTATAAAACAGGGTCGGGCAGCTGTTTTTCGAGACGAGACTCTGCCCTTCGAAATAGCCTCGTCTGGAGATCCTTTTTGCCCGGAGTCAGAGAGGTTGACCAGCACAGCTGGAGACGAATCTCCAACTGCATGATTGCTACCAACCACCCCACGCGGTCAGATGTGGCATAAGGCCGAATTTTATGTGGTGTATCCGAGCCCGTAGACTCGCTTAAAAATTCCCTGTAGATCCCGTATAAAACGGGGTAGAGTAGACTCTGCCCTTCGATATAACCTCGTCTGGGGATCCTCTCTACCCGGAGACAGAGAGTTTGACCAGCAGAGCTGGAGATGAATTTTCAACTGCAGACCAAATTACAGTGTTTACTACTGTATTTATGTGAATGTAGACATACTCATTATCGTTCGCAGTTATGCTGCAACATATATATATATATATATATATATATATATATATATGTATGTATATTTAGGCAGCAATCCTTCCTTTATGCATGTTTCATTAAAAACGACAGACAAGGTACTACGGTTGAGCTTTTTATTTAATTTTTCTTGTGTTCTGACAAGAGCTTTCTTTTCTGGACAAAGGGTGTGTAAGAACTGTCCGAATGTTTTGTATTTCCGAGCGCTTTCGGCTATACCTTTAGCCATTATCAAGGATGATTTAAACACATTTAAACACACACTCAGATTTACCCGACACTATTAGGAATATACTAATAGAAAACACAAATATATTAACTGCATCCACTTGCAAAAAAAGACTAAAAATAATGGAAGCTCTAATAATAAAAAAGAAAAAAGCCAACTGTTAACAATATTAACTATGAACAAAGCCACAATGTGCTAACCGTATTCGGAAATTAAAAACATCACTACCACACACTGAACATACACAGAATGCACACACTCTACTAAGCTGAAAATCGAATCATCCTTGATAACGGCTAAAGGTATAGCCGAAAGCGCTCGGAAATATAAAACATTCGGACAGTTCTTATACACCCTTTGTCCAGAAAAGAAAGCTCTTGTCAGAACACAAGAAAAATTAAATAAAAACTCAACCGTAGTACCTTGTCTCTCGTTTTTAATGAAATATATATATATATATATATATATATATTGCGTTTCTTTAACATATTTTAAAAACTTGGTAACAATTCTGCAATATTACACCGATTTCAACTTTCTTCGTGCAATGCGGAAGGTTTGGAACCCGGGCGGAAGCGGCCGTCTTTTGCCATCTTAAATGAGGGGAACAGATACCACGCTTTGATCCCAGACTGATAAGGACTTTGGTACGTACCTGCTCTTCGTAGGGATAAGCGTTTGTCCAATTGCATTGTGTGGGTAATTACGTAGAAGCGTTCCAAAGTGATAATGGTCAAAGTGTAGACGCTCATCTCACTGGATACTGTGCCCAAAATTCCAGCTACTAAGCACCATGGACTTGTTTGCCAATCCAAAGCAAATTTCTTGAATTCGCCTGAAGAAAAACAACAACAAAAATAATAATTAACATAATGTGGTTACTTCGCGCCCCTGTTAACAAAAAAAAAAATAAATAAATAAAAATAAACTCACTTTATGTTTTTCCTCAGACAGATATTCAGTGCAACTATAAACCGCGCGAACGGTTGCTAACCAGTAGAATGCAACCACTGCATACACAAAACCTATAAACACCACACACAGACACACACACACACGGAATTGGGAGAGTGAAGTTTTTGAGGAGCATGGCACCAGCTCCTAATTGATGAAGGTTTGTGAAAGTAGAGATATTTTAAAAATACATTTATTTGCAGTTAGTTTAGGAAAACATATAATACATTTCATTAAACTTTATATTTATTTATAAAACACTTTTATTTACAATATATTTTTCTAGAAAAAAGTCTTGTTTGTTGTTGTTCACAGCTCCACACACTCCGAGGTGGTAGCACCTGTTAGGGTCCCATCTATGAGTAAATAATGAACCACCCCAAACAAAAAAAAACGCTATGAAATTATTAAAATAAACATGGATAGTAAAATTATCAACAATACATATTTATAGTAAAATTACTAACAATACATTTTATACTAAAATGACCAATGATATATTTTATCTATAGTTCATGGTATGCAATTGCATTCAAAATATATTTAGTTCAAGCCATAAAATTGTGTTCAGAATATTTAGCCTTTAGCATTAAGTAACTGTTGTGGATTCCGGGAATGGAATCCTGCACAAATAAATAAACAACGCCAGTAATTGAGATAGAAAAATAAGTGTATTAAACGTAAGAATACAGACTTGAAGTGAAGATTAGTAGTCCAGGAATGCGGGTTAGTAGAAAGTATATGTACAAGTCTCTGTAAGTAAAGCCGTAATCATCTCCCTCTCTCTCTCTCTCTCTGTCTGTCTATCTGTCTGTCTATCTGTCTGTCTGAGAACACCCTGTGTCTGTCAACGTATCTCCACAGCAGGTATTCTCTCTGTCAGTATAACTATACTTTGGACGAGCCTATCTTATGTAAAAAGGGGAGAGCCCCACAACAGTAACCCATAGAGGTGTTGATATGCCGCTAAACAAAATCAACCAACCAACCAACATGAAAGAACTCTTTCATGACATGAATCCATATAATATTCTACAACTTCTTAAATAAATTAAAATGTATTCCGAAATAAAACTTCTACAAAACTACAACATAAAACACACATACCACTGCCTCTAGTAATTATGTCCACACCGAACATCTTATTGTGAGACCGGAAACTACCTACACAATAGACTCTTCCAGGCCTATATTAAGTAGGCGACATAGCACTCTAGAGAGTGACACAGAGAGACAGTGAGTGTCTAGTACGACTACCAGTGTTGGACACTAACATATAGTAAGCTCCGCTTACACTATCTCTGTAACCTGTTGTTAATATATCTTTCTTACTTCTAATCCATGTTCCGTGTTTTCCTTCTGTGGTCCCAACTTTGGCCCCACATCACATCTATATACAAAAAAGCTGAGTATCATCTACCATGGATTCTTTTGTGAAAGCAGAATAACATATATCATATTTTTATTACTTCAAAGCTTCCAAGAAAATTAAATTTCGGCATTAAATGACCCATAAGTCGTTGATATGCCGTTAAACAAACAAGTCAATCAAGCAAACATAGGAGAAATAAAGTTGAGCGGGCTGATTGGAAGAATTGAGTTTAATACGTGGACTTTGATTTCACCATGGCGTTTCAGTTCAGACCGTGTCTCCACATCGTGAAAATAGTTATTTATTTGATTTTTGAATCATTTAACCCCAAGCAATAGGGTTAGATAGGTTCGACTATCGTCCGGTTCAGACTCCTCCCTGGTCTTTTGAACTAGAGTAGAGATATCACTTGTTTCCGGTTTGAATTAAAAAAAAATGTCGGATTAAAGAGTTAATAGATTTATTTTTAATCCGACATTTTTTTTTTTTTAACTTTTTTTTATTAAAGCGAATAATTCGTGTCGTTGACACGAACTGAACTTGCGTCCCGATGTTTTTTCCTACAAATAGACACGCAGGATTGTCCTATTACAATTTCACTATAATGTAATTTTGAGGGCATAAGCCTTCCCTAGACTCATGGGGGTGGGGGTAGACAATCTTCTACTGTATTCTAAAAATGTCACTACAAAATAAAACACACATATCACCGACCGACTCTAGTAATTATGTCCATATCAAATATTTATATACAAAAAAAAAGCTGAGTATCATCTACCATGTATTCTATTGTGAAAGCAGAATAACATATATTATATTTTTATTAATTCAAAACTCCCAGGAAAAGTAAGTTTCGGTATTAAATGACCCATGAGGAGTTGATATGTCGTTAAACAAGAAAAACAAACAAAATTGCGATTATTCTGCGAATGGAGTTTGTTAACCAGTGTTCTATGTGAGGCGCCCATGAAGCTTGGCACTAAAATTGCCCAACGCAACCTGTCACTTAGTTTGCTTCGATACAGGGTTACGGTATGACTTGTGTTCAATATTTAATCTTCTACTGGTGGAAGAAGCCTTTTGCTTGTTACTGGGCGAAGGCGAATGTTTTCTGTCCATTTCAGCATTTCAAACGTGCCACAAAAAAAAAAAAAAAAAAAAAACGTGATAAAGAAAATCCGAACTGCTCTCTGTCGCATTCCATTGATTCCCCATGACGTATATCGCCATGCCTGAAGCTCTACATCCATCCTCGTGGCAATGGTTCGCTTTATTTATAGAATGCCGCTGCCTAAGACCAAAAGGCCACATACATGACCATAAGTGTCAAACACAAAGGGAGAAGAAATGTTTCAGTTTTCTTGTCTTATATGCAATCAGACGATTGTGCCATTTGCTTTCTTTTACATGAAGTTCTTTCTTTCTTTCTTTCTACAAGTTCTTTTTTTTATCCTTTTCCATCTTTTTTCTTCATTTTTTCTTACTTTCTTTCTTTCTTTCTTTCTTTCTACCAAGTTCTTTTTTTATCCTTTTCCATTTTTTCTTCATTCATTTCTTTCTTTCTTTCTTTCTTTCTTTCTTTCTTTCTTTCTACCAAGTTCTTTTTTAACCTTTTCCATTTTTTCTTCATTTCTTTCTTTCTTTCTCTTTCTTTCTTTCTTTCTTTCTTTCTTTCTTTCTTTCTTTCTTTCTAGAAGTTCTTTTTTTATCCTTTTCCATCTTTTTTCTTCATTTTTTTCTTTCTTTCTTTGTTTCTTTCTTTATTTCTATCTTTTTTCTTTCTACCAACTTCTTTTTTTTATCCTTTTCCATTTTTTCTTCATTTCTTTCTTTCTTTTCTTTTTCTTTTTCTTTCTTTCTTTCTTTCTTCCAAGTTCAAAACAAAACCTTTTTCCATTTTTTTCTTTCTTTCTTTTCTTTCTTTCTTTCTTTCTTTCTTTTCTTTCTTTCTTTTTCTAGAAGTTCTTTTTTTATCCTTTTCCATTTTTTTTTTTTTTTCTTTCTTTCTTTTTTCTTTCTTTTTTTTTCCTGTTCTTTTTTATCCTTTTCCATTTTTTTCTTTTTTTTTTTTTCTTTCTTTCTTTCTTTTCTTTCTAGAAGTTCTTTTTTATCCTTTTCCATCTTTTTCTTTTTTTTTCTTTTCTTTTGTTTCATTTTGTTTTCTATTTTTTCTTTTTACCAAGTTCTTTTTTTTTATCCTTTTCTATCTTTTTTTTTCATTTTTTCTTTGTTTTTTTGTTTGTTTCTTTCTTTCTAAGTTTTTTTTTTTTTCCATCTTTTTTTTTTTTTTTTTCTTTCTTTCTTTCTTTCTTTCTTTCTTTCTTTCTTTCTTTCTACCAAGTTCTTTTTTTATCGTTTTCCATCTTTTTTCTTCATTTTTCTTTCTTTCCTCCAAGTTCTTTTTTGTCCTTTTTCATCTTTTTTCGTCATTTTTTTTCTTTCTATCCAGTTCTTTTTTTATCCTTTTTCATCTTTTTTCGTCATTTTCTTTCTTTCTTTCTTTCTTTCTTTCTTTCTTTCTTTCTTTCTTTCTTTCTTATCCTTTTCCACCTTTCTTTTTCTTTCTTTCTTTTCCTTTCTCTTCCTTTTTTTTCTATCAAATCCTTCTTTATCATCCTTGTCCATCTTCCTTTATTTTTTATTTTTCTTTCCTTTTTTTTATATCCTTCTTTTTTCTTTCATTTCTATCAAGTTCTTTTTCATCCTTTTCCTCCTTTCTTTTTCTTTCTTTTTTTCTCAGGTTCTTTTAATTCTTTTCCCTTTTCTCCTTTCTTTTTTCTTTGTTTAATTTTTCTTTCTTTTTTCCTTTTCTCTCAAGTTATTTTTATTCTCTTCCATCTTTTTTCTTTTTCTTTCTTTATTTTACTTCAAGTTCTCTTTTATCTTTTTCATCATTCTCCTTTCTTTCTTTCTTTTTCTTTCTTTCTTTTTCTTTCTTTCTATCTTTCATTCTTTTTTCTTTCTTTTTTTTCCAGAATCTTCTTTTTTAACATTTTCCAGCTTTCTTTCATTTTTTCGTTCATTCAGGTTCTTTTAATCTTTTTTTCTATCGTTCTTTCTTCTTTCTTTTCGCTTACTTTTTATCAACTTCTTTTTTTATTGACTTCTGTCTTTATTTTTTCTTTTTTTCTATCAAGTTCTTTTTTCATGATTTTTCATCTTTTTTTCTTTCTTTGTTTCTTTCATCTTTTCTTTGTTTCTTTCTTCTTTCTTCCTTTCATCCTTTCTTTTCTTTTTTCTTCTTATATTCATCTTTCTTTGTTTTCCATCAAGTTTTTTATTATATCCCATTTTTCTATCTTACTGTTAAAATTTTTTCCTTGTTTTTGTTTTTTCTTCTTCATCAAATTCATTTTTATCGTTTTCGTCCTTTCTTTTTCTTTCTTTTTCTTTCTTTCATTCATTGACTTTTTCTTTCTTTTTATCTTTTTTCTTCCGATCTTTCTTTCTTTCTTTCTTTTCTAGCAAGTCTTACTTTTTATTGTTTTCTTCTTTCTTTATTATTTCTATCTTTTTCTTTCTTTCTTTTTTCTTTTCTGTCAGCTTCTTTTCTCTTCTTTCTTTCGTTCTTTTGGCTTTCTTTCTTTCTTACATTCATTCATTCATTCTTTCTTTCTTTCTTTCAATCAATTTTAATCTTTTTTTTCATCAAGTTTTCCTGTTCTTTCTTTCTAAAAATTTCGTGTTTGTTTCCTTTTCAACATTTCTTTTTTTTTCATTCATTCATTCATTCATTCGTTCGTTTCTTTTTTTTTATTCTGGTCCATTTTATATTTAATTTTTTTTCGATATATTATTTTCTTTCTTTATTTCTTTCTTTTTTCCTTCTTTCTTTCATCCTTTCCTTCTTTCTTTTCTTTTTTTCTTTTTCTTCTTATATTCATGTTTCTTTGTTTTCCATCAAGTTTTTTTTATTATATCCCATTTTTCTATCTTACTTTTAATATTTTTTCCTTGTTTTTCTTTTTTCTTCTTCATCAAATTCATTTTTATCGTTTTCGTCTTTTCTTTTTTTTATTTTTCTTTCTTTCATTCATTGATTCTTTCTTTCTTTTTTTTCTTTCTATCTTTTTTCTTCCTATCTTTCTTTCTTTCTTTTCTAGCAAGTCTTAATTTTTATTGTTTTCTTCTTTCTTTATTATTTTTATCTTTTTCTTTCGTTCTTTTGTCTTTTTTCTTTCTTTCTTTCTTTCTTTCTTTCTTTCTTTCTTTCTTTCTTTCTTTCTTTCACTCCATTTTAATCTTTGTTTATCATCAGGTTTTCCTTTTCTTTCTTTCTAACAATTTGGTCTTTTTTTCCTTTTCAACATTTCTTTCTTTTCCATTCATTCATTCGTTCGTTTATTTTTTTATTCTGGTCCATTTTATATTTAATTTTTTTTTTTGATATATTATTTTCTTTCATTCTTTCTTCATTTATTTCCAACAAATTTGACTTTTTCATCTTTTTCTTTCCTTGGAAAGAAAACGCATCAAGACCCATGTTTCTATGCCTGAGTCCCTATATTTCAACTAAGGAATCTAGAGAGATTAAATAATTAACTTTGTAACTACATGCATACATACATACTTACACACACATATGGGCTTATATACATACATAAATATATGTATATATATATAGGAAAAAATCCGTGGGGAAGTAATCCAAGTACATCCTATCAATATAAATTATTAAAAAAGAGACCTCAGTATATTTTTTTAGAGCATAGAAACGTTTAAAATAAAATATTTTAGTATTGACAAGCTTCAGGGAATTTATTCCGAGCAGCGAAATGGCCATAAAAATGGTGTACAATTGAGTTTCATTTTTATATAACACACACACACACACACACACACACACACACACACACACACACACACACACACATATATATATATACATACATACATAGATATATACATACATATATATATATACACATATACATACATATATACATACATACATATATATATACACATATACATACATATATGCATGCATATATATATATGCTGTTTTATACATACGTATATATATGCTTATATACATACGTATATATATGTTTATATACATACATATATACATATGCATATAAACATACATACATTTATACATATATATGTGTTTATATACATAAGTGTATGTATATATTTGTATACATACACGTATATATATATGCTTATGTACATACATACATATATATATATATATACATATATATACTAATATACATGCATACACATATATATACTTAAAAAATATATATATATATATACATACACACATACATACGTATATATATATATATATATATATATATATATATATATATATATATATATATATATATATATATTTATATATATGTATGTGCTTATATGTATAGATATATTATAATTATTTACTATTTTAAAAATATGGTAACATCGCCTCACAGGAATTACCATGTTTCGAAACAGAAACTAAAATTTTAAATTTAATTACAAAATTAAATTTAAAATCCATAGTTACCTTAGCGTTGTGACTGCACACTCCAAAAATTTGTATCAGTTAATAACACATTTAAAAATAAAATAAAATAAATATTTCGATTCGCATTTAATTTTTTCGTTCCGGATGCTACCTGAATTTTACCAAAAACAAAATGATTTCCATGCCTGAAGATGACTGCATGTACAGTCGAAAGTACTTGCGTATTAAAGAAAGACCTTATACAGCTTATAATTTTTAAAAACCAGGATCATAACATTATTAGAGTGATTTGTTGGTTAATGCAACTTTAAAATATTGTTAGCGAAGAGTTTTCGCCATTTTATATCATTAACTTTACTAATCTACTTTTTCTATGAATGATTCATTATTATATATACCTGTATCTATCTATCTATCTATCTATCTATCTATATATATATATATATATATATATATATATATATATATATATATATATATGTGCAAGCAAATATATGGATATAGATCCGACAGTATGAAGAAAAATATACGGAAAAAACAAACAAAAATCCTTATATGCAATTATGCTGTTTTAATGTTAATATATCAACGTCGGACGTTTCGGTCTAATAAACCATCTTCAGGACATATTCATAAAATATAATTAACATGATCAATTCAACATGACAAAGACGATGTACATAAGAACAAGACTCTTCGCTAACTACATCAGTGAAAGGTACACTTTCAGCTGCCCCTGATAATAATTCTTTTGGTCGCATCTTTCTACCAAATAACCATTTGACCGAACGTATCTCCAATAATTTAAATGCGTTAAAAATTAAAACTACAATATTACCTACTAGAACTATCCGTAGATTATTAAATAGCACCAGAAACCAACATATTACATCCGATGCTTGCATCTACCAAATCTCATGCAAAAACTGTCACTTAAAATATGTGGGTGAAACATGTAGGTCCGTAAAATCTCGTGTTTTCGAACATAAACGAGATATTCGCCTCGGAAATTTAAACAATACTTTAGTTGTACACACAACTAAAGCAGATCATAATTTCGATTTTGATTCCGTGAAGATTTTAAAATATTTTCATAATAAAATTCTTAGGCGGATTTATGAAGCAGGTATAATATCCATCTCACGCACGGTGAATACTAGACCTGGCTTCTTTAGTATTTCCCCTTTTCTAGCAAGATTAATGCTCGACAAACGTATATATAAGTTTTAGATCAAAATAGAATTCTTTTCATTTTTCATTCAAAATACTCAAATTTTAGGAATACGTTTTCACAGCGTCGCCCACGTGACGACAACGTGACCATGTTTTAAACGGAGCGCTGATCTTATAAAACTTTCAGTTATCTGTTTGGATAAGTCTTGTTCTTATGTACATCGTCTTTGTCATGTTGTATTGATAATGTTATAATTCATGAATATGTCCTGAAGATGGTTTATTAGACCGAAACGTCCGACGTTGACATATTAACATTAAAACAGCATAATTGTATATAAGGATTTTTTATTGTTTTTTCCGTATATTTTTCTTCATATATATATGTATGTGTGTGTGCGTATGTATGTTTGTATGTATGTATATATATATGTGTGTGTGTGTCTATATATATGTGTGTGTGTGTGTGTGTGTGAAGGCTGTTTTGAATTTAGAGGGCTTTTCAAACCGAAACAGAGCCGCTTACCAAGTGTTCCCGCGTCGACAACGGCTAGAAATCCTAAGTAAATGCCCATAAATAGATCGGCCGTTGCTAGGTTACAAATGAGGAAACGCTGGACGTCCATTTTGGACTTGCTGGTGATAGACACGAACAGAACGACACTGTTTCCGAGAAGAGCGAGCTGGAGCACCACCCATACGCCACACCGCAGATACCACCAGCCGAAGAGATCATCGCAAGGGAGGAAAGGATCTGCAATAAATAAATAAATAAATAAATAAATATAAATAAATAAAATAAAAATAAATAAAAAATAAATAAATAAACAAAATAAAATAAATAAATAAAATAAATAAATAAAATAAATAAAAAATAAAAAATAAAATAAAGATAAATAAATAAATAAAAATAAATAAATAAATAAAAATAAATAAATAAATAAATAAATAAAATAAAAATAATTAAATAAATAGAAATAAATAAACAAATAAAAATAATAAAAAATAAAAATAAATAAATAAAATAAATAAATAAAAAAATAAAAAAAAAAAAATAAAAATATAAATAAAATAAAGATAAATAAATAAATAAATAAAAATAAATAAATAAATAAATAAAATAAAATAAATAAATAAAATAAATAAAGAAATAAAATAAATAAAAATAAAAATAAATAAAAATAAATAAATAAATAAAAATAAATAAATAAATAAAATAAAAATAATTAAATAAATAAAATAAAACAAATAAATAAAAATAAATAAATAAATAAAAATAAATAAATAAATGAAAAATGAGAAGATCGTGTTACAACGATAAACATTCTAGAATTTAAGCATTTTTTGATTTTATAAGTACACTATTATATTTAACAACCCCTCCCCTACGAGGGATGTATGTGGCACAAGGCCGAGTTTACCGTGGGTTCTCCGAGCACGTAGGCTCGGCCAAAAAATATTCCCTTAGAACCCGCATAAACGGTTTCAGGGTCTGTCTGCCTCCCCGGACATCGGAAAAGCCTCGTCCGAGTTCCTCTCTGCTCAAGGCAGAGAGTTCGACAATTGAACAGGCTATAGCACTGTTCCTTTTGCAAGTACACTAATATACTAATTGGCGGGGAGATGGGACTGGAAGATCATGTTGCGTCGATGCACCGAAAGAGGACGGCCTGTCTTTGAAAATCACTATTTGAATACCTGACCATTTTGCTGAGCTCAAATAGTGAACACAGTCACCCGAAGTTTTTGTAACCAAAGTGTTTTCTTTCTTTCTTTCTTTCTTTCTTCGGCTAATTCGAATTCTTTTCCTTTCTTTCTTTCTTTCTTTCTTTCTTTCTTTCTTTCTTTCTTTCTTTCTTTCTTCGGCTAATTCGAATTCTTTCTTTCTTTCTTCGGCTAATTCGAATTCTTTTCCTTTCTTTCTTTCTTTCTTTCTTTCTTTCTTTCTTTACTCTCAAGTTCTTTTTCTCCTACTCCATCTTTCTCCACGAAGTATGAAACAGCCTGTCGCCTCTAAGTGTTGACTCCAGTGTCCACTTGTATATTTACATACGCTCTATCCCTGATATTGAGCACTTTAATCCATAAATATAGCATACCTTAAAAATAATAATAAGAATTGAGTCTAAAGAAATGGTCAAATCATATGTATATATGAGGGCCCATTGAGGACAATTCACAGCGGCAGCTGTCTGTTTTATGGTTAAACACAATTTTCAATCCACCTGAAGACTGTGTTTAAGCATGAAACAGACTGTTGCCACTGGGTATTGGCCTCAATGTCCACTTATAGTGATGGAATTTCTATTCATTAACCTTTTTATAGGAGAAAGGCACACCGGATGAAACGGAATTTCTCCTACAAAGTGAAACGTAAGTTCGGGACTTTGTAAATAAAACCCGTCCATCCCTGAAAAATAAGAGTTGCCGTTGTATTCTGTCTTCTGACAAAATCAAGAGGTTCTCTCTCTCTCTTAAATGGAGGTGGAAGGATAAAAAAATAGGGTATTAGAAAATTCTTCTTATTAAATTCTGATGAGTCATTAATCCACCTATCTTTGCTTTTTCAGTTTGTTTTCGGGATCATCACTCCCGTCTCATCATTTCATCACATTTATAGAATTTTTATACAATTGTAAATATTGAAATTTTAACTTATGGGCTGTGTTTTCAGTAGGCCCCCCCTCTGTGTGTGTGTGTGTGTGTGTGTGTGTGTGTGTGTGTGTGTGAGAGAGAGAGAGAGAGAGAGAGAGAGAGAGAGAGAGAGGTAGAGGTTTATCAATCTTTTCAGGTTATTTAAAGCAGGGAAATATTTTTTGATTGTAAGAATTTTTTTTGAGGTAATAAGTATGTAATGGATACTAGTCTTACTAATTAACCCATAGCTGGGGAGAGAAGAGGTGGATTAATGACTCATCAGAATTAAATAATAAGAATTTTCTAATACCCTATTTTATTTATCCTTCCTCCTCCATTTAAGAGAGAGAGAGAGAACCTCTTGATTTTGTCAGAAGACAGAATACAGCGGCAACTCTTATTTTTCAGGGATGGATGGTTTTTATTTACATCTTTCTTTTTTCAGTTTGTTTCCGGGATCATCACCTCCGCCTCATCATTTCATAACATTTATAGATTTTTTATACAATTGTAAATATTGAAATTTTAAGTCATGCACTGTTTTTTCAGTAGGGGGGGGTACTCCCCTCAGTCTGTCTGTCTGTCTGCCTGTCTGTCTCTCTCTCTCTCTCTCTCTCTCTCTCTCTCTCTCTCTGTCTCAGTGTGTGTGTGTGAGTGATATCTTGGTGTATGTCGGAACGAATGGTGACGGATAGATTATTATGGTGATTTAGAAAATTGTAACGAATGAATGGATCGTGAACCTGATTAGCTAGGTATAAGATAGTGTCGACCAGCTTTGACCTATCTCCCACTTTTTTCGGCCTTGTGCCACAATTACTGGATTCAATCAGTAATAAATCGTAGACAAGCAAACATTTATATATTTGTAAACTTGAATTTTTTAAAATATAACCTGAAGAAGGCAGACATTCTGTCGAAATATTATTTAGCATTGTCAAACAATGTTTTTCTCTTTTCTTTATATTTTCTTAAATCTCGCTCTTCTTTTAACTGTAATAATAATAATAATAATAATAATAATAATTATTATTATTATTATTATTATTCAGGAAATACTATGTGAGAGAGACACCTCTAATGCCCATAATTTTTTATCCTTCCTCCTCCCTTAGAGAGAGAGAGAGAGAGAGAGAGAGAGAGAGAGAGAGAGAGAGAGAGAGAGAGAGAGAGAGAGAGACTTGATTTTCTTGGAAGACAGAATACAGCAGCAATTCTTATTTATGAGGTGTGGACGGGTTTTACTAACATATTTTGTATTCAGTTTGTTTTCGTGGTCATCACCCCCCCCCAATCATTTCCTAACATTGATAGAATTTTTATATATACTTTTGTCTACATAATTGCACATATTTTTGAAATCTTTACGTCATGGGGTATGTTTATTTTATTTTATTTCTATTTTCATTTTTTTGTAGGGGGCCCTGTGTGTGTGAGGTATTTTGGTGTATGTAGGAACGAATATGGCGGATAGATTTTTATATTGATTAAGAAAATTGTAACAAATGAATGGGTCGTGAACCTGATTAGCTAGGTATAAGATAGTGTCGACTAGCCTTGAGCCATCTCCATCATTTTTTCAGCCTTGTGCCACAATTACTGGATTCAATCAGTAATAAATCGTAGACACATACCTGTCTTACACCTTCTTTTTTGTATATTTACTGAATAAATTTTCTATCCCTACGCTCGCAGTTTAAGTTCTGGATTATTCTAAAATCCTTCCCAAATATATCTTGATTATATCGATATATAAAGCAAAAAAATAGATAAAGAATATAAGATTAAAGTAGAAGAAAAAACAAGAGTAGAGGTTAATCCCTTCGTTCCTGTTTGATACTGAGTTTCCGGTCCCTTCTAATGTCTGCTTCAACTGTATACTTTTAGCCTCTCGCCTAATATCTGAAATTTTATTCATTACATATTTACTTTTTTTCCTCAATAGAAGTAGATAAGTTAATCAATCGTCCGGTCCAACTCTCTCGCGATCTTTTGAACAGGAGCAGAGGTTTATCCATTGTTTCCTGTTTAGGACTCGGTTTCCGGTCTCTTCTAAAGCCCGCTTCAACTCTTATAATTATAAAATCTCTGTCTAGCCTCCGAAATTTTATTTACTATTTATTTACTTTTTCCCTCCATAGAAGTAGATTGGTTCGTCAAACATCCATTCCACATTTCTTCCCGGTCTTTCGAACAGGAGCAGAGGTTTACCATTTGTTTCCTGTTTAGGACTGGGTTTTTTGTTTACCATTTAATGTCTTTTCCTTTTCTTTCACTTCTAGAATATCCTCGTTGCTTTGTGGATTTATCGCTTTTTCTTGGAGTGAAATGATTAAAAAAAATATCTGAAATTTAAAATGACAGAAAAGTTGCACTTACCGGGCATTGGTTGACACATAACTGGTGATCGAGAAGTAACAATATCACCACTGTCAGGTCGGATATAGTCTTCCAAGTGTTCCACAGTGGCTGGGGGCAATTCGCCCATGTTGTAGTCAAACTCTGAGTTAAAATTTCCGTCTAAGATATCAATGGCCATGTCATAATGCCGTATCGAACCATTCACTGTTGAGAAAACAAGAATAGAAGAGAAGATTTTATCAAAACAAGTCTGATATATTAAAAGATTTATGTAGAGAGAATTTATCCGTATCATTTATCTGTTTGGATATGCGAGCAGTGTATCTGTTAGCGCCTCAGAAAGAGAAATCAGCAAGACGGTTTCGAATTCCGGTCGAGTTAGTTACGTTCATTTTTACAAATTCTCTCATTTAACCACCAGAGATAAATGTCCCTGCCCCCCCATCACCATAGTTGATGTTTGTCTCCGTGAGTGCGTCTCAATGCGCCTTCTTGGCCACACGTTTTCAACTGGAACAACTAGATTGAATCAATAGCTGCATCTACTGCAAGGACAGTTGGTTCACTGTGTCGGGTCAGAATGTATTTCACGTCAGAGTCTATCTTACACATCTACAAATCTACCATTCGTCCTTGCACTGAATACTGTTGCTGTAGACGTGATATGACTTACCTGCTAACATGGCTGCCTTCTTGTATCTCCTTAAAAAGGCAAGCCAGCTAATTCTACCTCATTTATAGGAGAGCACCTAATGCAGCAGGTGGGTAGGTCCACTTTGCTGGAATGGACCTGCCCAAGACTCTATTCACCCATATATCTCTCCATTAAATGACTCAAGGCGATGCAACTTGTGGTGACTGCACCAGTCTACTTGTGTGCTAGACCACTTGCAAAGCAACCAATATTCTACAGTTGCCACATCTCGTCTGATGTTCCTGCCGTTCATCTCAAGGTTCTCAACAAAATCCAAAGAAGCATCTGAAATGTAATCGGTCCTGAATTGGCTTCTCGACTTCAGACACTTTCTCACGGACGTAATGTGGCTTCCCTCTGTCTTTTCTACAAATATTTCATGGCTACTTCTCAAACGAGCTTTTTTACCCTGGTTCCCCGACTACATGAATTTAAACGTGCTACTAGATTGGCATTTAGGTCCCACCCTTTTACCGTTGAAATAGCTAAATGCAACCGCATCTTCTTCAACAGTTTCTTTCCTCGCACTTCCCGACATTGGAACTCCCTTCCTTTCACTTGCTTCCCTGACAACGACAATCTTCAAAAATTTAAATGCAACATCACTCGCCATCTTCTGTTGCCTTGATCCCTCTCCTTTATATATATATATAGATATTAGATATGATCGTTCGGGAAAAATCACGGCGAATTTGTTGTTTAAAAAACAGTAATTTGACTTTGCTATGCTTGTCTGTAGCTAAATGGTAAAACACGTCAGGCTATATGACGGTTCCGTGTATAATGCAGGTTCGATTCTTGTCGGCCCATACATATTTTCTACGATATTTCTCGGACATGTAATTAATTCTGTTTATTATAAACAGGGCGTTTACTTAAATAATTGTATCTGTAAAAATAACGTATAAACAGAAAAATATATTAAAATAATTGTTCGGACTTAGTTCATTTCATAATATATATATATATATATATATATATATATATATATATATATATATAATCATCCTTGATAATGGCTAAAAGTAAAGCCGAAAAGTGCTCGGAATTACAGAAGATTTGGACAGTGTCTACACACTCTGTGTCCATAAAAGTAAACACTTGTTCGAACACAAAAAAATAAAAGACTTAATCGTGCTACCTTGTTTGTCGTGTTTAATCAAACATGTATAAATGAAGGATTGCTGCCTAACTACACAACATATATATATATATATATATATATATATATATATATATATATATATATATTATTATTTAAAAAAATTATAACATAAGTATGTTATAAAATCACTACAAAAATAGCCATTTTGTTTCAACACCCTCGGTGTCTTATCAAGTGATGATGTTGAAGATAAAATAAATGGTTTTAAAAATTTCAGATTAATTAACGATCCTACACTGGGGGAAACATTGTTACAAAAGCTAGAATAACCAATCAAAACCAAGTATAGAAAGATTCAAAAGCTTGACAACGAAATCATGTTATAATAGCTATTCAGATCTTTAAAATACGTGTAATATTAAAAATAATTTATACTAACCAATAATTATAAAATTATATGATAAAACTTAATATTAAAATTAAAAACTGGCAATTTTAAAATCCAAATTTAATCACGACTAAGTTTAAAAACTACAAAATTATTGAGAAAAGAAAAAATACATATGTTATTCAATTTATTTTTTAAGAATAGTAATTGTTAGTTATTGGAATTCATTCTGTATATACCAATTATATATTTGGTTATATATATATATATATATATATATATATATATATATATATATATATATATATATATATTCATGTCACGCACTTCTCGCCTGTGGAATTCCTCCCTTTTCTGTTTTTCCTGATAGCTATAATCTCCAACTCATCCAATATAATGTCAATCGACGTCTCCAGATGCCCTGATCTATCCCTTATCCTTCTCTTTATCCTTTCCTCTATCACGCCTATCTGCTCTAGCTCCAACTCTGTCTAACCCCTTTGCGTGGGTTTCATCCACGCAAGGGGTTATGTACGAGAGGAAATCATGGAGAATTGTTGCTTAAAAACAGTAAAATCGACCTTGCCAACCGAAACGCTCCTCTGTGGCTAAATCGGTAAAGCACGTCAGGCTATATGACGGTTCCGTCTAGGATACAGGTTCGATTCCGGTCGGAGCACGCATATTTCCTATGAAAATTTCTCGGACATTCATGCAAATGTTGTTAATACTGTTTATTATAAACAGGACATTTAATTTAAATATTTGTATCTATAAAAATAACGTATAGACATAAAAAATAGTATTTGTAGAAAAATCACGTGGTAGAGATAAACACTCAGTTGTGGAGCAAGCTAAGTGAATAATAATCCAACCTTTAGAAAGAGAGCTATTTATGTTGCCATGGAGCATCTCAATGTGCTAAAGTCGGATAGTCCTTGCTTGGGCTGTGATTGGCTGCTGGTACCTGAGTGGAGGTATTTCTATATAAATACCACCTTGATTCATTAGTTAGTTTGCAGGGTTTGTATTAAGTTACAACCTGCTTTATTTTTGTCTTCCAGCTGGACGCTAGCTGGGACCTTTACGCCGGTAAGTTCTGTTTA